TGGTCTTGAGAATAAGATTCTTTGTTTGAGTTGTATCCATATTCATGTGCCTTCTCATGGGGAACTGTTAAACAAAGAAATGATACTCTAGGGAATGACACGTGGTCTGTAATCGGAAACACCCGGGGGGGTGTATTTGCTATACGGGTATGTGCCGCCCTATAGGGTATGGTTTTTCGGCTTTTGGGTCTGGGGTAGGGTATCATTTTTTGACATTTTGTCTGGGATAGGGTATCATTTTAGTCTGGGATAGGGTATCATTTTAGTCTGGGATAGGGTTAACGATTTGGTCGTTTTTGTCTGCCGAATAGGCTACGCTTTCTGCCGACCAAAAACGATAAAAATGTTAGTAAATATTGGTTGCAATCGATTGCAAAACCGTATTTTCCGTCTTTTAGTCTGGGATAGGGTGTACAATTCATAGTTTTAGTCTGGGGTAGGGTATGTAAAATCAAAATTTTAGGTCTGCGATAGGGTTAGGGGTTTTGAGGTCCTGGCGGCACACGTACCCCTACCCAAGTTGGGGAGGTAGTACCCCCCCCCTCCCCCCCGGGCGGAAACATTACTCGACCGAGGTAAAAAGATCTATTGATCATTGCGGGATTTTTTGACAAATACAGACCCTTTTGGTTATCACATATATCTATATAATCTGGCATGGTAGTGCTTTTTAGATTCATTTATGTTTCCCCTTTTTTATTTATTAATTAGAATTATTTTTGTTAATTATTCACTACAGGCTTTCAGAGAGACGTCTACGGTATGGCTGGTGTCTTGAGTCATTTCGAGCACCAATATAACGAGCAAAGTGGCTCTACTGACACATGGACCATCACGGTTCCTATCGGATATAATATTAATCTTACCATTGTGTATTTCAAGGGAAGTAGTAATACATGTCCTGATAATATTGAAGTGAAGGATGTCTTGTCCAATCAGATCGTGGAATGTAACTCGAATTCTCCGTCCATTTATTCTTCAAAACAAAGAGTTCTTCAAGTTATTTTCAAAGATTCAGCAGAATACTTTGCCACTTTTACAGCACTCAACGGTAACGGTGAGTTAGTAAACTGCTTGAAATATAGAAAATATATGAATAAGTACGTGAACGTGCTATATCTCTTGCACTAGGATTTCAGTGTTAGCACTATAATTAGACTTTTGTACTGATACGGCGGCCACCTTGAATTATGGGATCGGATGCCAAGGGGGAAAAAGTAAAAACTTTATAAAACATAGAATAGCGGGGTTAAATTTTCAAATAATCTGAAGTCTTGCTGTTTTCCATATTACTCCAACTACGTAAGAAAATTCAATTAGTTTTAAGAAGAGCTTCTCACTGAAAAGTGTATAGTCAGTATATACTTATTTCAATAAATTTAGTCACCTGAAAAGCTGAGACCGACAAGGATTATGGGTAGATACATTTTACATGTTTCAACCGCTTGATAACTGTTGATGGACTTGAGATCTTTTAGCACTTACAAGTTCACCTCCTCTGAGCATCCTCAACTGCTGCAGTTTGTGTCAAAAGCTTTACTTGTTGGATATAAAATATTTCCCATGATTCTAAGCGATCACAGCTTTCTAGGTTTTTGGTGACTAACTTTATTGAAATAAGTATATAGAGATACTCTGACAGCCGTGCAGTCTATATTGAACCCTCGGAATCCAAAAATGGCTCAATTAAAACAATAGAACTCAAGATGGCAACCGTATCGGTAAGAAGTCTACTGCACCAAATGATGCCACGAGTATTCTTTACTGAAATATGACCCAATGTTCAAAATAYTGTATAACATTCTTATTGTAAGAGAGTCCACGATAGGGGTTCATAGATCCCGCCATGCCGCTTATATCCCTGAAATCCCGATCCCGCCTTGTGACGCTCTGTGACTTGACATGGCTTAACATACTAAAAGGAAATCAATTTTATCAATTCAAAAAAAAAAAAAAATTTAATCCCATATTCCGATGCAAACAATTTCCGAATCCCGACACCTCAAAAACACCAAATCCTTTCCCRTTTTTAGCTTGCATCCTTTTTCCTGACTTCAAAATAAGGCCGATCACCCTCTCGTCCGACCAAACCCATCGTAGACCCTCTTGTAAGGAAATCGAGGGTGATGAAGCGGTGGGGCCTCTTACTCACAGATCAAACTCTGAAACAACCTCTGGGCTGATCTACATCAGGGCATGGCTAACTCACAGAT